AAAGACACCTGATTCTCTGATCATGGCCGGGGGGCAGGGCAAAGGCGGCCCCAGCTCCTCCCTGGGTTTCTAATCACTGTCAGTGGCAGGGGGCTTCTTCCTGCTTTCCCTTTCACCTCCCTGCATTGTGCCTACATATGCAACTTAACCACCATCTTGTTGGCAGTTAACTGCCATCTTAGTTGGCAGTTAACTTGCATATAGCCCTGATTAGCCAATGAAAAGGGTAGCGTCGTACGCCAATTACCATTTTTCTCTTTTATTAGTGTAGACTAGAGGCCTGATGCACGAAATTTGTGCAAGAGTAGGCCCTCCTTCCCCCAGCTGCCAGCACCGGCTTCCCTCTGGTACCCAGGACCTGGGCTTCCCTCGCAGCCCTGACTTTGTCCAGAAGGACGTGCGGTCTAATTAGCATATTATGTTTTTATTATTATAGATTCTGACAATTTTATTTCTTTGAGCAACTACTAATTAAGAAAACACAGTTTGTTTGGTTTAACTCATGTGTTTGTTTGTTTTTTAGATCGTGTCTTTGATAGTAATGAAACCACTAAAGATGTTTACGAAGAAATAGCAGTGCCCATCATAGATTCTGCCATACAAGGCTATAATGGTTTGTATTCATTGCAGAAACATTTTAGTCTGGGCTGTCTGTTCAACAAATATTGATAGTTTTAGACTCTGTAGTCTCTCTCTTTTTTTAATCTTTGTGTGTGTTTTGTTTTTGCAGGTACTATATTTGCCTATGGGCAGACTGCTTCGGGAAAAACATTTACTATGATGGGTTCAGGAGATTATTTGGGAGTAATACCCAGGGCAATTCATGACATTTTCCATAAAATTGAGAAGGTAAATAACTTAGCTAAATTTCTAGTATATACAGGTAAAAGTAGTAATAATAGGATAGCAACTTCAGTGTTCTCTTGTAATGATGAAAGGAAGTAGATTTATAGTTATCTCTTGATTATGGGGAGAGAAGAAAGGCATGCATAGATTTACTTTTCCATAAACTTACTTCCGAGCTTAAAGTTCTTCATTTTTTGCTTGAAATAGTAATACTCCGACCACAAAATGGGCATTAAGGAGCAGGAAAGTCTTATCAGAATGGTTAACTCCTGACTGTCTGTTTAACTGCCATTGATTACCAAGGAGCAGTAAAAATAGGTGTAGATAAAAGACAAGGGCAGCAGAGGGCCAGATATGGCAGCATAATTAGTTAAGAGTTGATTGCATTTAAATTACTTATTATTATTTTAATTAATTAATTATTATTATTTTAATGACTTTTAATGTTTTTATTTGAACATCTGTGGGTATGGTTTTATTTTGAACTTACAGATTTGGACAGGGCACTCTATGATACTGTATTTTTCTGAAACAGTGCTTTTGCTTTTATCGTTTTGTGTTTATCATTGTTAATATAGAACCATAAGGGGATTTTTAGGGGTTTTGTTTGTTTGTTTGTTTTAAGGAGATAGTTTCTCAAACAATATTTTATTTTATTTATTTATTTTTTAAAATATATTTTATTGATTTTTTACAGAGAGGAAGGGAGAGAGATAGAGAGTTAGAAACATCGATGAGAG